TATATGAATAGATATTATAGGGAAAGGCATATAAACAAGTCAAAAGAGTGACACGAATGTCAAATGAGGGGTTTTTGGTTTGCAATTATCAACTACAATGCAGTCACAAAAAAATTGAAATAACAAAAAGGACATGAATTCTCGGGATGTAATCGATTATAGGCAAATTTTGATATATGGGTAATTGAAACTACTAGTAAATAGCTAAATATCAGTGGGTAGGCTAGACTATAATTGAAATAGCTTTATCTCGAACAACTATTCCGCTTCAAGTGATTTCTCTCGAACATCAACAAGCATAGCAATTAAGAACAACCTACAACCTTAATATATCTTCTCTTTCAAGAAAGATGGGTAGGATTGGGTTTAGGATTTACTCTCTCGAGCGGAACCCAAATCAACCCAATACCTACAAACCATTAATCAAAAGCTTTCTTTCTAAAACCTCTCTCTCGAGCAATCTAAGAACACAAAATTAGAACTGCTTTTGCAACTACAATTCATAAATTAAACTTTAGCTAATGATTAAACCCACTTCAATATAGCATTTAAACTAGTAATTAGCAATACCCATAAACTAATTCAACCCATAATCATATTGTCACGCCTCAAATCCCATTAAGACGGACAGGCACTCGATGCCCTAACGGCCTGAGAGAACCAACATGTGACCCGTGCTTACTATGCATGTAACTATGAAAGTTTTGTGACAAGTTCGCCAGGGACACAACGATATGAATCGACATAAGTAGACCCAAAACTTATATACAAGACTTGGCCATTGAGGCCACAACTGGTTAAGATGCAACTGAACCATATACATAAGTCTACAAAGCCTCTAAAAGATAGAAACCCTTAGAGTAGGTCGGGACAGACCCCGCCTTACCCCTAGCTACGATACAATACCAAAATGAGTCTACCAAGGGCTCAGTAAAGCTCCGAAGCAACCTGGAGCTCACCAAAAGTAGCTGAGTGTCGTATGCTCCTACTGAGAAGGTCTACTAGCGAGAGTACCTGTGTCTGCAACATGAAATGCAGCGTCTCCCGCGAGGGACGTCAGTACGAAAAGTGTACTAAATATGTAAGGCAACTACATATATAAAAATAAGAGTTCAAACGAAACCAGGTATCAACGTATAAGTGCATAAATGAGAATAGGAGGCTGCCTCTGTTAACTCTGGTGGGGTCATGTATGTTACATTCTTGTCTTTACCTTTATGTGTGTTATGATCTTTATAACGCATGTGATATAAGTGACCAGCTGATCAGTGGTAGAAGAGGATGACCCATGCTAGGCATTTTAACCCCTGGGATGCGGTCCTCAACATTGCACAAATCGGGATCGGCCCATGCTAGGCTTTTGCCCCTGAGCTGCCACCCTTCTATGCCCATTGGGATCGGCCCATGCTAGGCTTTCGCCCCTGATCTGCCACCCATAGTTATACAAATTGCTTCACTTAGATTTTTTAATCTTTGAGATTGTTGTTTTGGTGGTCACAATCATTTTTGAGATTTGGAAATACGAGACAGTAGTAGGAGACATGAAAATAATACTTTAGGACAATAGCTACAATATAAGGAGCTATGTAACATTAATGCATTACTTGAGAGCTTGAATGACACAATTGACTTCAATTGACTATAGAGTACTGATGAACGTGTAACTAAGTAATTATGTACACTTAGGAGGGGGGGATATTGTTAGCTATTTGGATATCGTACGTTGCCACTATGTTTCCTTTACTAGAAATAGAACTTAGGAAATTCACTTATTGACATTAATCGCAAGTATCAGATTTCATTCCAAGGAATATGGAATCAAATCGCCCTACATACCTTATTTTCTGACCAATACCACTGTCACAATTCAACCTCCCTTCTTGGATGCTAATCTACAATATAAGTCACAATTAAGCTAATGTCAGCAGCTAATCAAGGCCCTAAAAACAGTAGTTAACACTTAACGGAAAGTAGGCCCATACAACCCTTGCACCAATGGTGAACCACCAGACCCTTCTTCTATACATTAATACAACTTCATACATCCTTTTCCAAGATACCCAAACAGCCCCCAACAACAATATACATAAGGCAGCCACTATCAATCCCTAAAAATCTTTCAGCATAATAGGAAAATCTTAACTCAAAGATTTATCACCATCCATTAGTTCTTGATAAATATATACAAAATTCTCCACCCCAAATCGGTATTTAAAGAGAGAAAAAAAAATGGGCAGTAGTCTTACCATAGTTTCTAGGAATTTATCCTCTAAAGTTGTACTCCAAGAACTGAAACTCTCCTTCAAACTTTTACTTGAAAATGGGGCAATACTCAAGGAACCAAGGTTTTCTAGGGCTGCTAATTGAAGCCAAGAGAGACCAAGTGAGAAACTTAAGAAATCTGAAAATTTTGCAAGTAAAAAATGAAGCAAAAGATCTGATCTTTATCCCTTTAAAAAGGAGGTGTAATGGCCGAATTTCTTGACTAATTTTGGCCATATATTGTCAAGTAGGTGACCCACCTACTTGGCCCCACCTACTTGGCCTTTTAACTTGGGCTTTTGGGAACTTCAACACTTGTTGGGCCCTACTCCTAATTATCCCTCTATTCATGTCAATTTGGGCCATAATTAATGCAAGTAGTTGGTCCACCTATTTGGACTTTTCACTTGGGCCTTTTTGGACTTAAGACTATTGGGCTTTGGCTGTCCATTTTTCCCTTATCCTTCTACTCAACTTGGGCCAAATTAATGCAAGTAAGTGGTAGTGCATTTGGCCCAATTACCACTTTACTACCTCTAGTTTAAATACTTCCGTCGGAGCTAACTTGCAGTACACATGCTGAAACGTGCAAGGTGTTACATCACCTTGTGAGCTAGCTAGTTTAAACCAACACTAATCATCTAAGAAGCACGGTCCCTCACCTATACTATAAGGCTATGTCAAGTATCACGTGAATAGAACTAGCATACGCATAATATAGGTTGTTACATTCTTTCCCCCTTAAAAATATTTGTCCTCGAATGTTAGCATGGTTATCCAGCCCAAACAAGTTCAAGCCTAAGTTAGTGCTACTATTAATCACATAATACAAATAGACTTATACTTACTTGTCAGCGTCTAGACTAACCATTTTCATCCTTCTCATGGATCTGAAAGAGATGAGGATACTTCAATTTCATTGCTTCTTCCGCTTCCCATGTAACTTCTTCTACTTGTTGGTTCCTCCATAATACTTTTACAGAAGCTACTTCTTTATTTGTTAACTTCCTAACTTGTCGATCCAGAATAGCAATGGGTACTTCTTCATAAATGAGATCTCCCGTAACTTGTACATCTTCAGTAGGAGTAATATGAGATGGGTCACCTATGCATTTCCGAAGCATCGAGACATGAAACACCGGATGAACTGATGAAAGCTCTTGTGGTAGCTCTAACTCATAGGCTACTTGGCCAACTCTTCGAATAATCTTATATGGCCCTATATAGCGTGGACTCAATTTTCCTTTTTTACCAAACCTCATTACCCCTTTCATTGGTGACACCTTCAAGAACACCCAATCCCCTATAGAAAATTCTAGTCCTCTCCTTCTAACATCTGCATATGATTTATGTCGACTTTGAGCTGTTTCTAGCCGCTGCCGTATCACTTTGACTTTTTCCATAGCTTGATGAACAAGATCTGGCCCAAATAAGGTGGTTTCACCTTTTTCGAACCAGCCAATTGGGGATCTACATTTTCTTCCATATAAAGCTTCATAAGGTGCCATTTTAATACTTGAATGGTAGCTATTGTTGTATGCAAACTCGATCAATGGCAAATGATCATCCCAACTACCTTTGAAGTCCAATATACAAGCTCGCAGCATATCCTCGAGTGTTTGAATTGTATGCTATGCCTGACCATCTGTTTGAGGGTGAAAGGTTGTACTTAAATTCACTTGTGTTCCTAAACACTTCTGAAATGACTTCCAAAAATATGCAGTGAATTGAGCTCCCCTATCAGATATAATAGAGATTGGCACTCCATGTAGACGAAGTATCTTTTTAATATACAACCTCGCATATTCTTCAACTGTATAAGTAGTCTTGACCGGCAAGAAGTGCGCTGATTTGGTCAGTCTATCAACAATTACCCATATAGAATCAAACTTCCGAAATGAACGAGGCAAACCATTGACAAAATCCATATTGATCATATCCCACTTCCAAATTGGAAGTTCTATACACTGCATATAACCTCCGGGCTTTTGGTGCTCTACTTTCACTTGTTGACAATTTGGACATTGAGCCACGAATTCCGCAATGTTCTTCTTCATGTCCCCCACCAATACATTTCTTTTAAGTCATGATACATTTTAGTTGACCCCAGATGGACAGAATATCTCGAATGATGCGCTTCCATCATAATCCTCTTTCTTAATTCATCTACATTAGGTACACACAATCTGTTTTGACATCGGAGTACTCCCTCTTGCGTAAGCTCAAATGCCTTTGTCATACCCTGTTGTACATTCTCCTTAAGCTTTAATAGAATAGGATCCGTGTACTGCTTCTCTTTCACTTCTACTACTAATGAGGATTCTGCCGCATTTTGCACAATAACCCCTTTGTCAGGAGATTCAAGAAGCCAAACCCCCAAGCTAGCTAGTTGACATAGATCCTTAGTTATTCCTTGTCTTTCCACACACCGCCCATAGATGCTTGCCATTATTTTACGACTTAACGCATCAGCTACTATATTTGCTTTCCCGGGATGATACAAGATATCAATGTCATAATCTTTTAATAGCTCCAGCCATCTTCGCTGCCTCAGATTTAGGTCCTTTTGCTTAAAGATATATTGCAAACTCTTGTGATCAGTGCATATGTCAACATGAACTCCATACAAGTAGTGGCGCCATATCTTCAAAGCAAATACAACTGCGGCTAGTTCTAGATCATGTGTTGGATAATTTTTCTCATGTGGCCGCAGCTGCCTTGAGCCGTAAGCTATTACCTTACCATGCTGCATCAAAACAGAATCCTAGGCCCACCCCCGAAGCATCACAATAGACTGCATACCCTTCTGTTCCTTCTGGAAGTACCAATACCGGTGTAGAAGTTAATTTATTCCTCAGCTCTTGGAAGCTTCTTTCACATTCATCACTCCACTGAAACTTGGTTTCTTTGTGTGTTAGCTTTGTTAAGGGTGCAGCAATGGAAGAGAATCCTTCAACGAACCTTCTATAATAACCTGCCAATCCAAGGAAACTACGGATCTCCGTAGGCGTTGTAGGTCTTGGCCAGTTTTTCACCGTTTCTATCTTCTGATTATCAACCCTTATTCCTTCATCGGATACAACATGACCTAGGAATGCCACAGATTTTAACCAGAACTCACATTTAGAGAACTTTGCATACAACTTACGCTCACGAAGAATTTGTAACACCTGTCGCAGGTGATTAGCATGGTCCTCTTCCGATCTTGAATACACCAAAATGTCATCTATGAATACTATCACGAACACATCTAAAAATGGCTTGAACACCCTATTCATCAAATCCATAAAAACTGTTGGTGCATTCGTTAGCCCGAATGACATGACTACAAACTCAAAATGACCATATCGTGTTCGGAAAGCTGTCTTGGGTATATTTTCGTCTTTGACCCTCACTTGGTGATAACTCGACCTCAGGTCAATTTTCCTTGTAACTGATCAAACAAATCATCAATTCTAGGGAGGGGATATTTGTTCTTAATCGTTACCTTATTCAACTGCCGATAATCGATACACATTCTTAACGAGTCATCTTTCTTGCGTACAAATAAAACTGATGCTCCCCATGGGGACATACTAGGCCTTATGAATCCTTTTTCTAATAAGTCTTTTAATTGCTCCTTCAACTCCCGCAATTCTGCCGGGGCCATTCTATATGGAGGGACGGATATAGGTTGAGTATCTGGAATCACATCAATACCAAACTCTATTTCTCGTTCTGGAGGCAAACCCGGAAGATCTTCAGGAAATACATCGGGAAATTCATTTACCACTGGAATGGATTGAAGAGTTGGTGGCTCCGCATCTATATTTCTCACTCTCACTAGATGACATATGTATCCTTTGGACATCATCTTCTTTGCCTTAAAATAGGAAATAAATTTACCTCTTGATGTCCCAATATTACCTTTCCATTCAAGAACGGCCTCTTTTGGAAAATGGAAATGCAGCGTCTTCGTTCGGCAATCTACTGTGGCATAACAAGAAGCTAACCAATCCATACCCATTATAACATCAAAATCCACCATTTCTAGCTCAACAAGGTCAGCCAACGTATCACGATCACAAACAGTTACAATGCAATTACGACAAACCCTTCTAGCTATAATAGAGTCACCAATCGGTGCCTCAAATGGCTTCACTAATAATTCTGGTGTTCTTTTGAACTTTTCAGCAATCAATGGAGCAACATATGATAGTGTAGACCCCGGATCAATTAATACATATACAATATGTGTAAAGATGGACAACGTACCTGTAACCACATCCGGCGAGGCTTCCAAATTTTGTCGATCCCCGAGAGCATATGTGCGATTCTGAACTCCACTAGAACTAGCTGCTCCCCTAGCTCCTCTACCACGACCAGTAGGCATCTGTCCTATACCTAAAGAAGGTGCTGATGACGAGGATGCAACAACTGACCTAGTAGGTTGTGCCACACCACCCACACCTCTATGAGGGCAATTTCTCATCATATGACCTGGTGTACCACACCAAAAACAAGCATTTGTCCCAAATTGACATGCACCTAAATGATTCCTTCCACATTGTTTACAAAACTCTCGAGGAGGTCTTGATTGGCTCATACTTCCCTGCTCAAGGTATCCCGCTGTTCGTGAACCTTGACTTTCACCTCTTTGCTCAAATTGATTCCCCCTAGTCCCTTGAAATTGAGGTAGGGTACTAGCTGTAGAGTAGGAAGATGATGGCCTAGGCGGTCTGTTAAAGAACCTAGGCCTAAACTCACCTTGGGATGGTGTAAACTGCCCCATAGATCTGGGCCTCTTAGAATGCCCTATTTCTGACTCTTGTGTCCTTCTTCTTTGCCTTTGATCCTCTAACTTTTCGCAAAAGCTTGCATCCTTGCTATATCTATATCTTTATTCAATGAAGCAATGGTACAGTCTCTAACCAGATATGAATCTAATCTATCCACATATCGATGAACTCTATCCCCATAGTAGCAATTACATTAGGAGCACACCTGGCCAAGGAATTAAATTTGAGACTGTACTCTCTCACACTCATACTTACTTGGTGGAGATTTAAGAACTGATCCGCACGGGCCTTTAGGATCTCCAATGGCAGGTAATGGTCAAGGAATGCCTTTTTGAACTCTTTCCATATAGCTGAAGGTGCATCTGTTCCCCTGGATTGCTTCCAAGCTTCATACCACAATATTGCCACACCTTTTAATCTATATGCTGCTAGCTCGAGCGCTTCTTTACCACTTACATGCATAACATCGAAAGTGCGTTGGATCTGATATTTAAGGTCTTGTGGATCTTCATTACGATCTGTCCCGGTGAATGATGGAGAGTCCAAATTAAGGAAATCACGTATCCGCGTGCCAGCTGCTCTATCTACACTACTAATACCTGCAATTGGACCTTCTTGCCATTGGCCGTGGCCACCAACTATACGAGTCAACAATTGGACTGCATTCCTCAAATCTTGCTCGGTAGCATTAATAGGGGGTTCTTGAGGTGCAACTTCCCTCCTTAGTTCTTCTGGCGATAGAGGGGTCGGGGAAGTCTGTGATAGAGACTCATCTTGAGCCTCACCTTGAACAGCTTGACTAGGTGGTGGTTGGCTGGTCCCTTCTTGGGCAGCCACATCCACTCGCTTACCTGTACTTTTACTCCTTCTCGTAGCTGGCATCGTCGCTATAATAAAACAATTTAGAAGTTAGGTACTATTCAGCACAACAATGGTTCTATTGCACAATCTAAGAAATGAAAGAAAAGAGACAACTCCTACATGTCCCGTAGCCTCCTGTTTATAAATATGGTGCACAACACATCCATAAACAAGACTCTACATAGACACGGCTTTGTAGACTCTCTAGGATGACCTGCTCTGATACCACTTTGTCACGCCTCAAATCCCATTAAGACGGACAGGCACTCGATGCCCTAACGACCCGAGATAACCAACATGTGACCTGTGCTTACTATGCATGTAACTATGAAAGTTTTGTGACAAGTTCGCCAGGGACACAACGATATGAACCGACATAAGTAGACCCAAAACTTATATACAAGACTTGGCCATTGAGGCCACAACTGGTTAAGATGCAACTGAACCATATACATAAGTCTACAAAGCCTCTAAAAGATAGAAACCCTTAGAGTAGGTCGGGACAGACCCCGCCTTACCCTAGCTACGATACAATACCAAAATGAGTCTACCAAGGGCTCAGTAAAGCTCCGAAGCAACCTGGAGCTCACCAAAAGTAGCTGAGTGTCGTATGCTCCTACTGAGAAGGTCTACTAGCGAGAGTACCTGTGCCTGCAACATGAAATGCAGCGTCCCCCGCGAGGGACGTCAGTACGAAAAGTGTACTGAATATGTAAGGCAACTACATATATATAAATAAGAGTTCAAACGAAACCAGGTATCAACGTATAAGTGCATAAATGAGAATAGGAGGCTGCCTCTGTTAACTCTGGTGGGGTCATGTATGTTACATTCTTGTCTTTACCTTTATGTGTGTTATGATCTTTATAACGCATGTGATATAAGTGACCAGCTGATCAGTGGTAGAAGAGGATGACCCATGCTAGGCATTTTAACCCCTGGGATGCGGTCCTCAACATTGCACAAATCGGGATCGGCCCATGCTAGGCTTTCGCCCCTGAGCTGCCACCCTTCTATGCCCATTGGGATCGGCCCATGCTAGGCTTTCGCCCCTGAGCTGCCACCCATAGTTATACAAATTGCTTCACTTAGATTTTTTAATCTTTGAGATTGTTGTTTTGGTGGTCACAATCATTTTTGAGATTTGGAAATACGAGACAGTAGTAGGAGACATGAAAATGATACTTTAGGACAGTAGCTACAATATAAGGAGCTATGTAACATTAATGCATTACTTGAGAGCTTGAATGACACAATTGACTTCAATTGACTATTGAGTACTGATGAACGTGTAACTAAGTAATTATGTACACTTAGGAGGGGGGATATTGTTAGCTATTTGGATATCGTACGTTGCCACTATGTTTCCTTTACTAGGAATAGAACTTAGGAAATTCACTTATTGACATTAATCGCAAGTATCAGATTTCATGCCAAGGAATATGGAATCGAATCACCTACATACCTTATTTTCTGACCAATACCACTGTCACAATTCAACCTCCCTTCTTGGATGCTAATCTACAATATAAGTCACAATTAAGCTAATGTCAGCAGCTAATCAAGGCCCTAAAAGCAATAGTTAACACTTGACGGAAAGTAGGCCCATACAACCCTTGAACCAATGGTGAACCACCACACCCTTCTTCTATACATTAATACAACTTCATACATCCTTTTCCAAGATACCCAAACAGCCCCCAACAACAATATACATAAGGCAGCCACTATCAATCCCTAAAAATCTTTCAGCATAATAGGAAAATCTTAACTCAAAGATTTATCACCATCCATTAGTTCTTGATAAATATATACAAAATTCTCTACCCCAAATCTGTATTTAAAGAGAGGAAAAAAAAATGGGCAGTAGTCTTACCTTAGTTTCTAGGAATTTATCCTCTAAAGTTGTACTCCAAGATTTGAAACTCTCCTTCAAACTTTTAGTTGAAAATGGGGCTATTCTGAAGGAACCAAGGTTTTCTAGGGCTACTAATTGAAGCCAAGAGAGACCAAGAGAGAAACTTAAGAAATCTGAAAATTTTGCAAGTAAAAAATGAAGCAAAAGATCTGATCTTTATCCCTTTAAAAAGGAGGTGTAATGGCCGAATTTCTTTACTAATTTTGGCCATATATTGTCAAGTTGGTGACCCACCTACTTGGCCTTTTAACTTGGGCTTTTGGGAACTTCAACACTTGTTGGGCCCTACTTGATAAGGGTTCCAATTGGGGATGAAGCCAATTGAAATCAAATGGGGAATGAAACAACACAAAAGTAAGATAGATGAGAAATAAGAGATGAGAAGAGAAGAAAGAAAGGCAATTGAATAAACAATCAACCAAGGAAGAAGAGAAACTTGAATTCGAAAAGAAACAACTCAAATTGAAAAGCACAAATGAGCAATCTCAAGTGAAATCAAGGTTAAGAAGTCCTAAATCAACAATGAGAATCCACCCATCACTTATCTAGATTAAGCTACACTAAGCTAGGCTATCCTAAAGGGATTCCACCCTTAAATTACACTCTTGAAAGAGTTTGTTCATTTCACATTCAAAATTCATATAGTCTAAATCTTCCAAAAATAAAAGAGACTACTATTTATCCTAATAAAATAAAGAAGACACATATTTGACAATTTTACCCTTAATGAGGTGGGCTTTGTTTGGTTGACTTCTTTTGTGAATTCTTGAAAATAAAGTAAAGAAGACACTTCTTTGACAATTTTACCCTTAATGAGGTAAGGGCCTTGTTTGGTTGTCTTCTTTTGTGAATTCTTGAAATTATGAGATGACCATTTGCACAAATGGCCTCTTTCTTCTTTCTCTTCACTTAGATGGACCTTCCTCTAAGACATGATTTTGTGTCCATCAAGCTCCTCTAATGCTTTTACGCGATCCATGCCATCCATGTTTTTATCACTACTCCTAATTATCCCTTTATTCATGTCAATTTGGGCCATAATTAATGCAAGTAGGTGGTCCACCTATTTGGACTTTTCACTTGGGCCTTTTTGGACTTAAGACTATTGGGCCTTGGCTGTCCATTTTTCCCTTATCCTTCTACTCAACTTGGGCCAAATTAATGCAAGTAAGTGGTAGTGCATTTGGCCCAATTACCACTTTACTACCTCTACTTTAAATACTTCCGTCGGAGCTAACTTGCAGCACACATGCTGAAACGTGCAAGGTGTTACATCACCTTGTGAGCTAGCTAGTTTAAACCAACACTAATCATATAAGAAGCACAGTCCCTCACCTATACTATAAGGCTATATCAAATATCACGTGAATAGAACTAGCATACGCATAATACAGGTTGTTACACATATGATCACACCCCAAGAATTGGGGTTTTAGCCAAACATCATAAAAGACTAATAATGGTTACCAAATCGATTAGCCATCAACTGGGTAAAAGTAATTAAGCCTTTACAATGCTCCAATTTGCAGAAAATTTGAAACCCAATTGAAAAAAAATCTCCAAATTGATTCTCAAAAACCTTCAAGTCTACTAAGAAACTCAAGAGAAAACTATTCTAGACTAAAAACTGTGAGCCGCCCATTGCTCTCCTCAAGTCCTGTAACTTTGGCAATCTCCCTTGGCATCGCGGAACTACTCGGTGATTCGCCGACTGCTCCTTTTCTGTCGTCGACTTGGTTTCTTCCCTCAGGGCTGGCACACTGGAACTTTAGGCGGTCAAAATAGCCACTCGGCGACACGCCAAGTGCTCTTGGCGTTCATCAATCTCGCCTTTCTTCACTTCTTTAGTTTGTTTTGTTCCTTTTTGCCTGCTAGTGTCCTTGCTTTACTTCTCAATCCATATACCTAAAAATCAAGGTATTAACATCAGTTTATAGCATAAATTAAGCATTTGAGGATACTAAATCTATCAAAACAAAGCCCAAAATGCGTCCAAATCCTGGACTCATCAGACGTACCTTCAAGCAATTCACAACATTCATATCTTATTCAATTCATTGGGAACCTCTTTTTATTCCATCATACCATGAAGATGATCAAGGAATTACCTTGAAATATATTCTTTTTCATTTCATATTCTTTTCTTCAGTTTTCTTTTTCTCTTATTTTTTTTTATATTGCCGGGTTCCATCTTTTTGACAAAGAATCTCATGCTTTATTTTCACTTGGGATATTTTCTCCTTCTTACCAAACCCCCAACTTAGGCTAAGCTTAAGTTGGTTATTCAAATAAATAAATGCTTCAAAAAAGATTTATAGGTGAGAAGGTGTAAGGCCTCAGAATCTAGTAGTCTAAGAGATGGGCTAAGTGTTAAGTCATGAACTAGAGAATTTAGCTTTGGCGCCCTCCATGAAGGTCCACACGGCTCGTGGTGGTGCCCATGGGCCTTGGAAGTAGCTACCCAAGCTATGCTCACCTCTCATGACCACAATGATTCCTCGTGGTGGGGACCACATGTCATGGTGAGGGGCGTGAAGGTGAGGCTGTGAGTCCCTAGAATCTGCCTAGAAAGAGACCCTCCCCACGATCCACTAGACGGCTCGTGAAGGCCACCAAGGACCGTGAGAGGGGTCATGTTTCTTACTTAATTTTAAGAGGGAGAGTGGTGGCAAGCCAAGCCACTGGTCCAAGACCACGGATGGATCCACAGCTCGTGGTAGGCACCACGGATCGTGGAGCCTCACGTGGTGATGGGGAAGCCCACTGTAAGTTAAGGGCTAAATGGGTTTTTTTCGATTAGAAGTGAATCAAAGCTACATCATTTTACCCTAGACTAGGACCCCTATATAAGTGATTTTAACCCCAAAACTCACCCATTCAAGTCATTATTTCCAAAACCCAAAAGAAATCCCAAAGTTCTTCTTTCAAATATTTCTCTCTCTAAAACTTGAAGAAGAAGAAAGAGTTGGAGCTAGGGTTAAGGTCAAGTCTCCATTCCGCAAGCATTTGTGGGAGTTTTTATCAAGGTACGATGGCCTTTCATCCATGGTATCCTTTCTTCAAATGCGTCCCTAAGATTACCCAATTTGAAAAGTAGAAATTC